CTAAAAACTCATGTTTATGAAACCAATTATTAATCAATTAATTCAAACCCTTCTGATTATAAAGGAGAAGCTCATTCCTCTGAACAATGTGGTTTGTTGTTGGTGCATAATTTCATAGAAGTCGTCTGAAATCAGAAACAGAAACATGATTTATTTTTTCTTGGGTCCAAACATTATTTTTCAGACGACTAATTATCCAGATAACATCATTAAAGCTCCTCTGTCCTGTTTTGTTTGCAGCTTGTTCATTAAATTCACAGTTTTTATTTGTGGTTTAAGTTTCTCTCCTTCACTGACTCGTGTGTCGTCGTTAAACCAGTCGACGTGCTTCCAGGTGTGTCTGATTAACCTGATCAGTCCTAATCCTGGATTTAACTCCTGTAATCTTCACCAAATGCCTTCGTAGGATATTTTTTGTTCCCTGTTCTTTATGTGTGTACTGTTTTGATCATTTTATTTCCTGTTTTTCATGTTTTACTGCCGTGTGTTTGTGTCTGGACCAGCTGATTGTCTTCAACTCCCCGACACACCTGAGATCCGTCCACCAATCACCTGCTGCAGTATTTAAACCTCAGCTGTCGCTCTGCTCCTGTTTGAATGCTCCTGAGCTCACAGCGTCTAAAGCTCATCCTGCAGCTTCTTGTGCCTCTCAGATCTGGGTCATTTAGGTTCTGGTTTATTCAGAGCATGATCATGAACATCAGCTAAACTCACGTTAATCTCTACCTAAGCAACAAGTAAATGCACACGGACGACTTTAAACTTCCGTGCAGAAGAAGCAAACCTTCAAACAATCATACAACACACCGAGCACTGCTTAGTGGAGCAAACTTAACTGATTTCAGTGCAGAGCGAGCGGTTAGTGTTGCTCTAATAATCCACTGTTTTATTGAGCTGCCAGAACAGACCACACGCTGTCAAAGTCGTTGCCAAAATGTCAAATTTAGACTGAAAGTGGGGAAATGTGGACAACTAGATGCTATAAAGATAAAACAAAAATGGAGAGCTTGACATGAATTATTCAAAAATCAGAAAAGAGCAGCTGTTTGCATAAGGTTTCCTGAAAACCGACAGCACAGCTCTGTAGTAGGAGGCAACACATTACCGTAATGTCTGGACTATAAGCCCCTACTGTTTTCACACGCTCTGAACGCTGTGGCTCAAACAATGATGCAGCTAATTTATGGATTTGTACGAATTTGCCTCGAGATAGAAGTGACATTGGACACCCTTATATGTACTGTTGTTTTTTTTTGTTTTTAAAGTTAGTGGGTGTGGCTTATACTCAGGTGCGCTCAATAGTCTAAAAATTACGGTAATGTCAATTAAAACCGTGGGCTGAGCTGAATCAGGCAGGACTGAACTAATGGAATGCACACCTGGAAGACGGCTGCACAGATCATGATAAACATGATAAACTTCATATTTATCACCCACTGTGCTGATAAAACTGAGATATTGTGATTAGTGAGAAAACACCATTTAGACACGAAGCAAAGGAGACAATCTGAAGAACACAGATGAGACGTCTGCTCAAGTCCAAATTTAAAGCATAGTTGACATCTTTAGTTTCCTCATGCTGAAAATCACGTTAGTTTTTCTTTTTATATGTATACCTTCACATGTCCATGTGGTGTTTTTATTCTGCTGGAAGACACAATATGAGTGACGATTAGCAGTTAGCGCTACGGACGAGCGTTCTGTCCTTGAAGCTGCAGATGACGGCTTCAGGAAAAATAGATTCAGACAGTGGAGGTTTCAGACAAGACAAACCCAAGAAACTATCCCATCCATTATCTATCTTAATCCTCACTAGGGTCATGGGGGGCGGAGTCTATCCCAGCTGACTCGGGGTGAAGGCAGGTTCACCTGGACAGGTAACCAGTCTATCACAGGGCTACACTTAGAGACAGACAACCAAGCACACTCACATTCACACCTACGGACAATTTACAATCACCAATTAACCTCAGCATGTTTCTGGACTGTGGGAGGAAGCCGGAGAACCCGGAGAGAACCCACGCTGCACGGGGAGAACATGGAGACTCCACGCAGGAAGATCCCGGGTGTCCTCACCGGGACGCGAACCGGCGACCTTCGAGCTGCATCATTCCTCTCCAGAACTGATTCTCAATTTGAACATATGACCAAACTACTGTGAACTGCTTCTACTAGTGTAGTTATACAGCAGAGTCGCAGGTGAGCTGGTGTGCTCGAGCAGTAAAGCGATGCAGGGACTGTGTAGATATGCACATTCTAGAGGAGGCAGTGGGGGATGATTTTCATGCCAAAGGCTCTAAATCTAGAGCTCTGAGTTCTTAGGGGTTGCACATCGGGGCTGACACTGACATGTTAAAACACCTCCACATTACAGTGACGCCATTTGCTTTTATTTAAATGTTTTGGGGTTTTTTTTATTACACATGCAGTTGTGTATGTAAACTTAGCATTTCTAGGTATCGCACTGCTTGTGTAAATATGTGCAATGACCATAAAGCTGTTCTGTTAAACCTCCACATAGCAGTGATGCCTGTTTTCTTTTCCTGCCTCCTTTAGAGAATCTCTTTCCAGCTTTCACACATACTCACAGTTCTCTATCTTCTAATCATAAATCCCGTGGCAGCACTACCACATAATCCACGTTGTTGCTGGTGAGGATAATCTAGACTTGTGGTTTGTGCTCCTTGCTGCTGCAACAAGTCCTCCAGTCCTCTCTAATGAGGTGTTCCTGTCTGTAAATGATCTCAGCTGCTGTCACCTCCATCATCATCATCATCATCATCAGAGCTCTGTTCAGTCACATGTTGGAGCTTCGTGCCCGTCCTGTTGTTTCAGCTCTGACAGGCTGGACGGGCTTCAGACCAACATTAGCCCGACATCTCCTGCACCTGACAACAGAGGCTGACATGATCTCCTCCCTGCAGACAGACGCACATTAATATCCGTCAGAAATGTCCCACGGTGGAGGAAACATCCGCCCAGCGGCGACTGGGACACGCCCAGTCCGCTCCACATGGAGATTTATGGTGATTAAATCAGCTGCATTTAGCAGAGAAGGAACCGGTTCAGTCGTCTGGAGTGATGCTCATCCATCACGTCTTCAGTGGTTCTGCTCTGCTGTCAGGCTTTTACAAGAACAACGAAGTCGGTTAGAACAAGAAGCTTCATCAGGCAGTGAACAGAATCATAAACCCACTTCAGAAAAAGATCAACAGGTTTTTATTTTCACTCAACAGAACCGTTTGTTACTAAAATATCTGTACAAATTCAGATCTGACAGTCACGCTGGAAAAGTCTCTGTGCTGCTCAGGAACCGGAAGAGAAACCAAACTGCTGTCGGCAGAAACAACCAGAACCGCCGAATGTGAGCGTCTCCTCAGAACTAGTCAGCCTGGAACTCAGGTAGCGGCTCATCGACCTGCTGCAGCGTCCTCACTGTGGATCTCACTAAACACACTGAAGCAGGTCTTCTGTCTGCAGCATCGAGCTCTGGGCATCTTCAGATCATTTCAGACACAAATGAACATTTGCCAAAAATCAAAGAATCAGTTCAGGTATCAGAATGTAAGGAAGGAAAACCCGTCGAGCCCGGTTCAGTTCTAGTGTTTTAGTCGTTCCTGTTACTGTTTGGGAACAAAGCGGATGTGATGGGACCTTTGTCTTGTAATTTTAAACCAAAACAGGACCTGACTTGAACAAAAAACACCTCAACATGCAGCTTTATGTTTGGTTTTCTGTCCTGTAGATCCACACACTGGTGGAGATCTGATGCCAGCATGATGTCCTACTTTTAGGATATTTTTGCATCGTATTTTTTTAAACTTATTTTACATTTCTCTTCTGCTCCAAATGGAAAAACTGAATTTGCAAAAACCAAAACTGGAGCAATTTTTTTGAGTTTGGTTTTCTTTTTTTTGATCACATGAGCTCGTTTTTGGTTTAAATTTTTAAAAAAAGCAAATGCCACGTGTCTGTTTGGAAACTGGTTTTCAAATAAAGAACAGAAGTTTGAACTTGTTCTATGGCACTCATCGTTTTCTCCTGACTAGATCCTTGCTTGTGTTGCATCTGCTCTTAGATGTACTTTGGATAAAAGTGTGAAATTGTAGAATGTGGGTGTTATTTTGTTAATTTAATCATAACTGAATTCCAGATGTTCTGGTGATACTCAGAACATGTGGGCCTCTCCTTCAGTGGTATATGCTGATCCTACAGACTGTTTATGAAGCTGCAACTGTCATACTTCCAGTATTCTGTCATCAGAGCAACATTTATCCAGAATTTATCTCCCAACGTTTGTCCGACTGACCATTCGTTGGCTAAAGCGATTCATTTCCTGTCAAAGTGTCTCTGTGGACGTGGAGAAGCAAATAAGCTCGCTGATACGATAAAATCTGGTCGTGACGTGCTGAACGATAAACTAAATTCACGCAACGTCAGCTGGGAACAAAGAAAGTGAAACAGGGAGGAGGTCGGGGTTGATGGATGGCTGATAAAACACTGACCTTTGTATATCACCGTCTGTTTCCTGTTTGTTTTTAACCAGAACTGTTTTAATCTTAACCAAACCTTGATGTTGCTCTAAATCTAACTAGACAGAATACTTCTGCTGTATTTGGTGTTTCTACAGGTCGTAGCATGAGGACAGTTAACCCATGTGGTGGCTCAGGCTGAAGGTGGTGATGTCAGTTATTTATCACAGTCTTTTGATTTTCTTCGGGTCTTGTTTGGCTTCACTGAATCCACCGTTCAGCCCAAACGTTTTAGTTGTAAAGCTGAATAAAAATGCTATAGCGTTGGGAACAGAAGTGTTTACATGTCGAGGAGCACAGAGGAACGAATCCAGCAACAGAAATAAAATACATCCAAGCAAAGCGACTTCAAAACGAGGAATGTTCAATGTGAACAAATACAGTTTGTTTTCCCACAGCTGGTGCAAAAATTCATAAATTGAGGGGAAAAAAATCAACAACAAATAAACTGTAAACTGAATGAACGGCTCACTTCGCATCACAGCAGCTTTTAACCAACAGTTCCATTAAAAACTCGGTTTCTTTCATTTCAATGAGACGATATAAAGTCAGAATGTAAAGGTTTCCATCGTTCTCTATTTACAGAAGCTCCACCGACACGTTAGAAACTCAACACCTTGTTTTTCATACAGTCTATAAAAACACACGGGAGCAGAAACGAAGGGAAAGAAGTCAGAACACGAGGAAGGTTCTGTCTGTGTGGTTCTGTCCAGGCTCAGTTTGTTTTGTAAAGCACTGAGGCTTGACAAGGCATCTCCGTCCGTCTGTCTGTCCGACCTCCAGCTAGATGAAATACTCCCTCTGGCTCTCCGTCGGTCCGTTCTGCGAGCTGGTCTGGCTGCTGAAGGCCAGTTCTGGACTGTCTTCAGGTTTCACCGTTTTGACCTCCGGACTCTGACACGAGCCTTTTCTTCTGTACAGGAACCGGGCCGTCACAGCCAGAGCGGACACGCTCACGAAGATCACGACGGCGATCACGCCTGCAAAGCAGAAAAACAAACAAAGTCTGAGGAGTTCTCACGACTCAGATGTTATTCTGGAAAAACTGCTGGAATGTTTTTAACTGTGAATGACGGTCGATTAAACCTTTAAACCTCAAAACCTGCTGCTGCTTTGAAAGAGTTTGTTTAATAAAAACTACCAAAACTACACCATTTATCCCAGCAGGAAACCGTCGAAAGAGAACCACTGAATTCTCAACTTCCTGTTCCTGAATGAACCACGTGTGACATGAAGTTTGGCGGGAAACAGAACCAAATCTGAGCTTAAATATTTTTATATCATCTAAATTACTTGATTCAAGTCTCACTTAAGTAAACCATTTGCACCAGATTCTGTTGAAAGAAAGAAATAAAAACTAACATTGGGTTGAACTGCAGGCTGTGTTCACACCAAGAGGACAAATTAGAGACCGAGAGGAAATTAAAACGTACTTGAGCAGTAAAATAAATGCAGCGTGGCTCAAAAACAGCATACGGAGGAACAAGTTGTTGGAAGATATGTGCAGCGTGGTGATAAATGTTTAGAATAAAGAGCAGAGTCGTGTTAAAGTCTGCAGAAGTTGTACAAACGTAAGCAGTCAAACATCTGCATGATGTGAAGCAGCCATGTTTTTATTCCCAGCACCTCTGGGCACTGGGGAGAAATAAAATGTGTTGATTCCAGACAAACTTACACCATAAATCCTAAAAAACAAACTAAATTCTCTTCACTTCGAGCCAACTGAAAGCAGAGGTCTAAGTTTGCTTTAATAAATACGCTGCTCCAGGCCGTGATAACAAAACACTATCATACTGTTTATTCTAGTTTCCACCACACGTGGTCCACCAGGTTTCTTTTGTTAGCTTGAAAAAAACCCCTAAAAGTCAGCGTTTGAGCCTGATCACACTTTACTGATCCGTCCTGTTTTCAAATGGGACAAATTAGGAGCTGAAGAACCAAATTGGACAGAAAACATTGAGAAATAAAAGTCCCACTTAAAGGCGACCGGTCAGCGGCTCCGGGGGGACAAACACAAATTGCTTTGCTCCGTCATTAGTGCTGTGTTAATTTCCTCTGGGCTCCCCGAGTGATTTCTGCCATTAGCGGGTCTCGGCGCTGACGCTGGAGGCAACAACAAAAACTGACAGTCGTTCTACTCCGAGTCTGGAGTCATTTGTTTTCTAATTAGTTGTTGTTTCCTGTCTTGGCCTTTCATCTGGATGTTGGTTCTCGTGTCTCGGCCTCGCTGCCTCCTGACTGATGATAACAGGTTGTCACTACAGTACCTCCGACGAGAGCCGAGTCGCTCCTGATGGCGTTCACCAAAGGCTGACCCGTTCCCGCCGATCCCGACTGGCCTGCAGCACCGAGAAACAAGAAACAGACGGTAAAGATAAGACGGGGAGGATCGAGAAGGAGGGGGATGAAATGGAGCTGAACAGATGAAAGAAAGAAGGGGAGGTCATTAGTGGGAGAGCAGAGATGGAGCTACAGTAAAGAGGGAAGCAGGACTCGTCTGCGCCGCCTGTCAGAGCCGATAAGCCCGTTATGAACCACCGGAGACAGATACGGCGAAGGAAACTCTCTCCTCGTCTGAATTAATTGCCTCGTCTCGGGGTCATTAACCCGATGTCGTAACATCATCAGAGCCCCAAATGTCTCGTCGTGAAGCTTCACCCACACAGAAGGAAGGTCCAGAACCGCCCACCACGATCTCAGGAACGGTTATTAATCGCTTTGGGAACGTGGAGGCACTTAAAGTCGCACGGCGTAGCTTCTGCGAGGTGCTCCTCAGGGAGCATGATGAAGATCAGGCCTTCCTCCACAACACACCGCATTGATTTTCCTCTAAGCTCTCGGCTGCAGACGTATATTCTACGGCGCATCCGTCGACCGCTGAGCTCCAGATTGATTTCCTGTCTGACAATGAGATGTAGTTTTACCTGACAAACACATGACGCCTGTGTTCATCAAAATCGATGCGCGGGGACTTGAAACGTGTCCGAGCGTCGGTAGATGATCCATCACGGAGGATTTAAACAGCATATTAAAGACCTGCCGCAGCGACAATCACATTTTAGTTTTCACCTTGAAACTAGTTTTGGAGACTGATGAGCATCACAAAAACAGATTCAGACGTGTGACGCTTCAACCTGAAGAACCAATCAGTCAGCTCGCAGGATGGGAGTTTCTTTATCATTGTTCCCATTCAGAATCCATCTCTGGCTGAATTATTCCAACTTCCCTTTGTCCACATAGAGCAGGTTTGATGGTGTGATTTCCTAGAAGGTTTAGAGTTAAATCCAAGTGATTTTTGAGGCAGTAAAGGAATATTTTTCATGGGAAATGTAGATTCTAAATGTGGAGCTCTGACACACAGATGAGCTTTTAGGGGTTTAATCGACATTTGGTGTAAAATTTGTGTCTTTGTTTGTGGATTCTAGAGTCTGCATTCATGATAATAGTAAAATCTAAACTCTTTAGTTGATGGACTGAACATGAACACCACCAGATCCGTGTCCAGCATGGTCCTAACAAAGACTAGCTGTCCATGACGCCTACATTTGCTGTTGTAGAGGGAAAAACAAGCTGTAGAGGCTCAGTAGAGCTAAAACCTGACACGTCTGATGGTGAACGGAACAGGAATGATGCAGATTCCAGGACAGAACAAGGATTTCTATAGTTGTACATAACAAATGTGCCAACAAAACGCTACCCGTTGCAGTTTTCTCTTCATAGCCAACAATTAATAGCTATACTGTTTGTCTACGGTGTTTATATTTGTTTAAACCAATCAGCTGTCTTGGTGGTCCTGATGGTTGGTTGCTGTGGTGGTAGTTGGCTATGGTGGTAGCAGCTTTGGAAGTTGTGGAGGTTGGCTATTGTGGTGGGGTATTTTGGTGGTGGTTCTGGTTGGTTGTTGTGGGTTGATGGAGGTGACTGGTTGTTGTGGTGGTGATGGTGGTAGTTGTGGAGGTTGGTTGTTGTGGTGGGGTATTTTGGTGGTGTTTCTGGTTGGTTGTTTTGGGTTGATGGAGGTTGTTGTGGTGATGGTGGCAGTTGTGGGTGGTTGGTTGGTTGGGTTTTGTGGTGGTTCTGGTGGTTGGTTGCTGTGTTGTGGTGGTGGTTGTTGTGGTTGTTGGTTTTTGTGGTTGGTTGTTTTGGGGGTGGAGCTGGTTGGTTGTTGTGGATTGATGGAGGTGACTGGTTGTTGTGGTGGTGATGGTGGTAGTTGTGGAGGTTGGTTGTTGTGGTGGTGGTAGTCCCAGCTTCCAGGGTGGCACTTTATTCATCCCTCCTTCTGCTTCCTGCATCCTTCTCTGGTTTGTTTAGTCTTTGTTTGTGAATACAGAGTTGTTGTTATTAACACGCCTCACATCTGTGGGTCGAGTTTTAAAACCATAGAAAAGCATTTTAACTCCAGATCAGGTGACGAGAAGACGAGACACTCGACATGCAGAGTTTAGGCCTAAGATGACAACGGTGACAAAAATCCTCCCTCTGACCTGATTGGTGGTGCGTGGCTTCTGCTGCGTTCTGATTGGCCGAAGTGGAGCCACAGTTGGACCGAACCAGCGACCCGGTGACGGTGACGGAGCTGGTGTTTGGGTGGAGCAGAGCAGCCTTGAGAGGGCTAATGGAGTTAAAGAGGACCGACGACAAACAGCCCGCGAAGCCCAGAGAGGCGAGTTGAGAAAGCTCTGGGTCCAAACCGTCAGAATCTGCAGAGGAAAGAGACGAAAGGACCGTCATGCTTCATAAAAAGATGTTTGAGCTTCAGCTGGACTAGAATCCTACATCTTATGAATCAGTCTGTCTCAGGTGCTACTCAGGACCAGATGAGGTGGTTTTTGGTTTGATTTTAAAGCTGAAAGGAGGATTTTTTAGGTTTTTATCCTCTCAGACATTTCATTAATGAAACCTGAGGTGTGTTTTTGCCTCTGACCAAACTTGGAGGCATGAATGTACTGCAGAACGTCAAATAGTGCTGCCATTTACTCGCTTATTGTATTCAAGAGACACCAAACGATTGGTGCGACGGCGTAGAGGAACGAAGTGAGTCAGTGGCATCGATGAAGATGTTACGGCTACATGGCACAGTGTGGACAGTTTCAAAAGTTGTGCAGAGGAATCCTAGTGTATACGTTGGAAACAGCATGATTTAAAACGCCGCGTCAGTTTTAGTTTATACTGAATGAATCCTTCTTTAGCTGCTTCGTAGCTCGGCCTCTTTTAGTCGGGAAATAATGATTCATGGCCACACAAACCCTAAAATCCTGCAGGAAGTGAAACGAAGCAGGAACTAGGAGGTAGGTTCAGACTGGAGGCATCTGTTTCTTATCTGGCTTCACTAAACTTGACTGAAACGATCTCATGATGCTGGTTATCGACTCACTTCCTCTCTGACTCTGAGCGTCTACGGTCGTCTTAAATCAGTGAGTTTTAAAACATAAAACAGGAAGTCGCAGCTGCTGTGATTCATGTCTGATCGTTGTCTCTTTGAATGACAGCAGGAAGGAGTTCATCAGGTGTTTGAGTTAATTGGTGCACTTTTAAAATCCACCTCCTGAAGCGGATCTATATCTATGTCAGTTCTTTACCTGCAGCGTCCCCGGCAGCAGTGTGAGTGTCTTGTTGTTCGATGAGGGGCTGAAGTTATCTGAGAGCTCTGCTGGGTTTGCTTTGGGTTTGTTCAGCAGCTGAATCACTTACTGTGGACTCTGCCCAGAACCAGCGTCCTGACTCCGTCGAACTCCTCGTCAGACGTCAGGTTGAAGTCTTCTCTGGAGTTCTGGTCAATCTGAAGGAAAAGCAAAGGATTCTCTTTACATTTAGCTTCTAAAAAAACACCAACATCAATACGACACTGTAAAAAATAAATCTTTAAAACAAAATGTGAAAATGTGGTTTCAGGAAAAATGCATTTAAATTAAAAAAAAGAAATAACCATTCCATTCAAAAATCTGTACTTTTATTTTGCATAATTATTTCTTTACATTTTTGCTGTTTTTTAAAAAAATTCTGTGAACCTTTTTGGTCTGTTTTTGTTTTTTACAGTCATTATGTAAATTAATTCTTTTCACTGATTTTTTACTAGAAAATTCCTGTCATGCAATAAAACAGAAAAATCTGTAAATTAAGTTTTAAAAGTGTCATTTTTCAACCATCAACACACATAAGTTTTCTTTCAAATACAGAAAACTATGTAAAGCAATTTATCTATTTTAATTGATTCAAATGCAATAAGAAGAACAGTAGAAGAAGAAAGAACAAATACTAAAAACACAGACTTCTGATGTCGACATTATTCACAGTTTTGGCCTGATTTTTATTTTATTTTTAAATATCTATCTACAATTCTTTTTTTCCTGTGATTGTACAGGTTTTATTATAACAGGGGAAATCTGTGAATTAACAGTAAATTATTTTTAAATTACAGGATAAATGTAAAGTTTTTTTAACGGTGTGGGTGAATACTTTAAACAACTGTTCAGTCGACTGGATTTTCAAACAGCGCGTCATGTTTTATGGATATAAATGTGATTTTTCCTCCTGACTGCACAGCTCAGTGTCCAGTTTATCAGAGAAACAACCCAAAGCATGAAAACGTAATAAACTGAAATGAGAATCACTCAGACGGAAACAGAAGACTCCCTCGAACAAACGAGAAGAAGTTTCAGAAGCTCACGTTTCAGGTTTTATTCTGTTTGTTGTTTCTCTGCTGACAGATCAGGACTCTGGACTCAGAGGGTTTTTTGTTACCTGCACAGAAACAGCGTCTGCCAGCCTGCTGATGGAAACACGGTGCAGCTGTCGGTTGCTGAGATTCTTCACTTTGCTCCTCAGGACCTCTGGTTCTCTGCTGCCGTCCAGCCGGTACCTCACCTCCAGCTGGTCTGCAAGCACGAAGCAAAACCACACAGTCCAGTGAGGACAAGACTCG